TGGTTTATGGTATAAAATATATTTCCTTCTGTTACACCTGGTCAACAAAGTTTGATCAACACTGTTCTAAACATCTTATCATTAGCTGAATTTCAACTCACCTTATTATACCAAGCAGAAACAATGAGTTTTTCTTCATATTCACGGAATTTTGCTACTTTACATTCACTCTGGAAAAAGATATGTGGACTATTAAAATCCCAGAGATCACCCCAAATTACTAAATGCAGAATCATTTCTTCACTATGCTCATTGTTGAGAGAATCTGAAGAATACATTTGTAAAGCACATAAAGTAAATAAAATGTAAATTGAATGATGCAGAAATGCATGCGTAACACCTTTAGGAAAGAGTAAGATTTATGACTAATGAACCTTTATTTCAGGAATTTTGCTGGTAAAACAGAATGATTTAAACAAACATACATATGCGTGCACACAACTAGTGATTCTTATGCTAGTGTCCCCCAAATCTAGACAAAAAAATTAACAACTGGCTTAGGTAATGAAACAGAGCTACACTTATGGAGAAGTCAAAACTAAGGAGAAGGACATAGCAAAAAATATCTAGGAAAATTTTTTAAAATCACCTACAAAGCCTAGCACAAATTTTTCTCTCTCATTTCTTGGTGGCCTGTATACTAGATTGCCTGTGGCCATATTTATGTGCCACCACAGAGAATGATATCCTTTTCTTAATTACTCTAACACAGTTAATTTTGTAATTTTGTTGAGCACCTGATGAGCCAGATGGTTTGGCTCTTATAAATATTATAATCTTAAAACACTTGAATCTTCCCTCAGCAAGATGCTCATGATACAAAAAGTATTAGGAACCAAGCCCCAAAGAGGCAGGGCATACCCTTCTTCTGGCTCACATCCACTGCAGACGCAGACTCTAAGAGAGATAGCAGTCAGAACGGCCTCTTCTATTTACATTACGTCTCTCCTTTTCTTTTTGCAGTGTGTGTACAGATGAATAAAAATAAATTAAATGCCTGTATCCTACAGCATAACTGAAGCTTTTCCTCAGGGCCTTATGGTTTTGGAGGCACCATTTTGTCTACATACTTGTTGGGGATGTACATTTCAAACATTGGCAACAGTGTACGTTTTCATTGTTTTCCTCTGGGAAGTAATCAGTCAGAACAACTTAGACTTCAGAGATTATCCAGTCCAAGTCTCACTATTTTATAGATGAGGAGCTGGAGGACCAGAGAGGAGAGGCGACAATGTTAAGAAGTTACCAATAAAGCTGTAATCCTGATCTGGTTTATGTAATATTTAATGCTGTGGTACCAAGACATAAGATATAGTCTTTGACCTCAAAACACCTCGATTTGTGCCAAAAAGAAAACCAATGCTGTTGTGGAATGAATTCATGAATTCAAAGTACGTGGACCCACTATGGAGAGATAACTACTTTTTGCTAATGAATACAGGGAAAATTTTATAGAGGAAGAGATATTTGAGTTAGATCTTGAAGAATTATTAGCATTTCTTCAGACAGGTATCCCTACACAGTGCTTTTGACAACAAACAACACAGCCAGGACAACCACCAACAGCAAGTGCACATCAGGTTGGTGTGTACTCTGGATGTAGGAAGGACAGGGTGTTAAAGTCTTTAAGTCTTTAAATGAAAACATTTCCACCACAGTTCATATCTACTTGCTCAGAAATAATACCAAGAAAAAGGCATATGAATAGAATGTGTGTCTTTGAGATATTATATAACACTCCTAGTCGATTTAAAAAGAAACCAACTACCATTTATGAGAATTTCAAGGCCAGTATACAGAACTCAACATGGCTCTGCAATTATGCACAAGTTATTAAGAGGAAGTATATATC